CAAAAAGTCCCGTCATAATCGGTCCAGCCATTTCGGAAATTATCCGAACAAACTGACAGACAGAGAAAAATTGTAAAAAATGTTATTTTGGTGTAAGTGTCGTATTTATGTTCATATGCATGTAGTAAAAAACGGTTATTTCAATATTACAAACAGACACTCCAATTTTATTTATATGTATAGATACACTAGCTATGCTCGCGGTTTCACCCGTATTAAATTTCAATATATATACTTATATATAATATATATACTTTCAATAAAAAATATAGCCTATGTGTTATTCAGATCGATAAACTATATTACTGTAAAGATTCATCAAAATCCGTTCAATACTTTTTGAAACTACAATATTTATTTGAAATTCATTCAAAAATACATCTAAGTCTTTCATTCAATCCGGACGAAATAAATCATAAAGAAACGGTTAGACTGTGCGTTTAATAATGACAATAGCTTATGTTACTGTAATAATGTTAGTAATATCAGTAATATTGTAACATTCGTTTTAATATTAAAACGAATGTTACAATATTACTGATATTACTAACATTATACACTATTTGTTCTATTATGCTTATACACTATTTTATTCTCAACTAGCAACATGTCCTGACTTTGCACGAATGCATTAGGTACATATTTTTTAATATCTCGGCTTGTTCTATACTATAAAATGCATATAGGTATTATACATATAAACCTTCCTCTTGATTCACTCTAGCTATTGCTGAAAACTGCATTTAAATCCGTTAAATAATTTAATTACTTACGTATTTTCAGCGAACAGTCATCGGCGGTGACATTGTTTTATACTATGTACTTAATAATGATGGAAGAGGTGTGCACAATTGCTTGATAAGTTTATATATTATATTATATTATACGGATATATGGGTTACAATAGGCCTATATGACAATTAGTGCTATGTATTGTATAAAATACTCGATTAATATCTCTATACCAAAAAATAAAATAGTAATTAAACTCAGTCTTTCTGAGTGTTTAACTGTTGTACCAAATTATATTTCTTAATAATAGCCACTTTAGCTAAATCTACAGGTAGTTCGTAGACTAGCTAATACTTGACGTGATATTTATTTAAAAAATAATTTAATTACTTAATTAAAAAATTAAGGGTGTACCTTACCACTGCGCTTTAGATAATGCAACTGAACATGTAATACTTACCAGTAATATGTGCACTACCATGCACAGTATAGGTACCTTGGGATACTGTATTAGTTTGTCTAACTAAAGGCCATCCAACAATATTAAGGAAAACTGGCTATTTGGTTCATTTATACGCGGTCGAAATGTTTTCATTTCGAATTACCAGCGATGTCTTTTTACAATCTTCTAAAAGATCAGTCTAACTACAGTAAGTCCTATACTTGAAAGTGTATTTAAAGCTGTACTAGCAGGCTTCTACCGGGCAGGAATAGAAACACGAGTGGTGAAAGTGAGTTTTAATGTACGTCAGTAAGGAGCCCTACCCCTTAAACCTACAGCCGGGTCTCACAGGTCCTGGGAACTGCCCGGAGTATTCCTCTCTGAAACTCAATCCTATCTAATTCTAAGAAGTTCGTGTCAGTCTTATAGGGTATATTAAGCCCTAAAGTAAAAAAAATAACTTAAACTACTCTAACACCTTCCACCAAGAAACAAAGTGAAACCACAGATGACATAATTGAAACTCTTTGTATTGTGTGTTTGAAGTTAAATGAGAGAAGAACATCCTTGCGATTTTTCGCCTGATTAAGAGCTTATTCACAGATATGTAATAAAGAAAGAATATTTATTAATATATACAAAGTTTTATAGAGGAATGTAAGAGGAAAATAAAGTTAGAAACGTCTCACTACTGCCATCTCTGATTGAACTTTAACATTTGAATGTCTCTATTACTTTCGAAGCTGACAATTCAAAAGCACAGACGGTAATTGCCAGTGAGCACAACATCGCTGTTTCTGCATATCACTAATAGATGGCGCTCGTTAATAATTTTTATGAACAAGAAAATAAACAAACTACAATTTCTAATCTTTATTAATTAATAAATAATAATAATACATCTAATGTTGTATTAAAAATCTATTCGTATGTTTTGAAAATATATCATTTTATATAATATCCCACTGCTTGGCTTACGCTTTTAGGAAAAATATTTACCTTGTACTTAGATGCTTGACGATACATATTTTAGATTTTGTTGTGGTCCTTGAGTATAATATATTAGTAAAATCTGTTTCATAGTTTTACGTAAAACTTTACGATTATACAGAATATATTTTTTTGTTCAGGAATTTAGTTGGTTTAGTCCTCTACATATGGCGCTAACAAGATATACATGTATTAACGAATAGAAAGAGATAAAATTAATTAAGCCCAAAAAAATTTTAATATATTTAAAGAAGATATTCAGCATAACTTCTATTTTTATAATTGAGTTTTAATTTTTTTAATGTTTATGAAGTTGCTCTCCATCTTCGAACTCGCATCTGTCGTTCGATGATCCGATCGATCGATCTCCCGTCCAATTCAAACGGTGATCGAAATTACAACGGCCTGGGCCGAGGTTCGAACCCCTAGTGGTGCCCTCAGACTAAAGTCATATCCGTCAGGCAGGAGTTGCCCTTCAGCCGCTCTATAAGTCCTTCCGCGGGTTTGGAGTGCCATCTGCACTGCCCCCTAACGTCCGGTGAAGCTGTAAAGACCAGCTGCGGCCAACAACATTAGAGTAGTCAGAAAATAAAATCAGTCGTTTATTGGACTTTATGATGCAACTATTTTAATAATTTCAAACGTCTCAAAACTATTTTTTAAATTATAATTACACTACATTTTTATTAAACAATAATGAACAATTACAGATTTAAAAGAAAAAAAACAGGCTATATACAAATATTTCCACTTTAGTAACGTCATTGTTTTTTGTATAATGAAAATTTTTATAGTATATTTTTATAATATATCCAGCAATACATAGCCGTATTGTAAAATAAATATAATATACCTAGCTGTACCTGCGACTTCGTCCGCGTGGAATTTAACAAAAAAGTTAATTAGAGAATTTTTCTAAAATAAAAGTAGCCTAAGTTACTCTTTATTACATCATCTACTAATAATAGTCAATAATCAAATCCTATCAAAATCGGCCCAGCCATTTCCGAGATTAGCTGGAATAAAAATACAGACCGACAAAAATTGGAATAATGTTATTTTGGTGTATGTACCATATTTATATTCATATGCATGTAATAAAAAACAGTTATTTCAATTTTACAAACAGACACTCCAATTTGATATAGATGTATAGATTATTGTGTTATAGTTGCAATGTGGATGGAAAAGCGTATGAACAGGTCTACGCCTTTCCATCCACTGCGCAGAGCTTAGGGACGGCAGCCGCAATATTGCCATATGACTATCTGATACACTCTCCAAATTTTGGATATAATCTCCCCAAAATGTAGACCTGGACTAAAAATCTCCGCAATAAAATTTTTTGTAGTCTGACCACTAGATTTTTAGCCACATGTACTTGTTTTTTTTGTCGCTTGATTTTGGACTGTCTGTTTTTAATACTTAGATAGTTTTGTCAATTTGATAACCGCTATTTTGTTGGCCGACTAGTCATCAGTGATTGTTTGTTTTGATCAGATAAACTTATGTTTTTAGTCGTAATGACGCGATAATCATTTCAGATTCTCAACAACAACATAATTGCCATCAGTAATGTATCCATATAAATTATTTTTTTTACTTCTGTAAAAAGTTGTTTAGATTTGCGGATTAAAGAACATATTTTAAAAACATAAAATCATATTCATTTTCTGATGTCATAATGACATAATAATATTTTTTTGTTATGGCAAGTATATTTGAGTATCCCTATACCCCTTTACAGAGGGCACCACATACATTACATATTTTGTCATACAACTGTAACCTTTATTGCCTTCGTTTCAAAATTCAAAATAAAGGAAATAGTATTTAGAAGTGTGACATTGTTGTCCTCCGACCAGGGGGGTGAGGGGACTGGTCAAAAGAAAGACAAAAACATAACGTTATATTATTACACTTCCATAAAAATCTATTATCATTTATTTAATTATAATTTGTTTGTTTTTCAATTTACATTCCCAGTTTCTCTAATAATAATTAATGGAATCCTATTGAGCTCTTACTAGTATTGTGCATTGTTTAAAATGTTTTCTCTCAAACATAATGTATCGTATATATTATATATGTAGTATAACTGCATTTGTGTATGTAATCATTATTAGTTTCCCAAATTTAAATTATAATATATTATTCTGCTAATTATCAACTGAGTTACATCGTTAGGTTAGTTGGGAAAGATCTCTATCAGAGAAACCCTTGCTCACATTTTTGTTTGATATTAATTTGTTATTTTAAAGTACAAATAAAATAAACAGTATATATATTGTTGTGTATTTGATGCGTTAAGGAATTTACATGGTATCGTTTGTGACTTCCCGGGCAGTAAATTGAATAATTGACGTATTTGCGCACGCATGCGCTTGTGATGCGCTATGAAGTGAGCTACAGTCATCCGGTGTGCTGTGCGAGTGAAGCTAGCCGATGACGCAGACTGACGGCGGATACAATTCACTCTCGTTGCGATCGCTTGCACAAGTGGTAGTTTGTCACTTAGCGTGAGAAATATTGTCACTGGCAGTTAACAGCTGCGATTGGCGATACTAAAACTTTATACGAAGAATCTCGTGCAATCTTTCAGGTAAGCTATTAAAAAAAGTTACTTTTTAAACTGTTTTATCATCACTGCCTAGCAACTCAGCTGTTCTCTAATACATTAATACTTAGTGAAGTTAAAACAATATTATGTTTTTAAGTTTACCTTACGAGCATTGTTTTTTTTAAAGTAATGTTTATGTTCATGACAGCATGATTTATATTATTGTTTGTTGTTGCAAACAACGCTTGATATTTTCTTTCTTTTGGTTAAGTTGGCATGCCTCGGTGTTCGCTGAATGGTGGTCCATACAAATCCCTGGACCAAGTGTACAGGGACACAACTCAGCCAAACATAAATAGTTATATTATGGATAAAAGGTGTTATGCTCCCATGAAAAAATTAAAAAAAATCATCACCAATGGCCAGTCCAGAAGGAAATTAGAGCCATTATTCGATAAGAGTAATGTAACGTGAGTAGTATTTGCATGCTTTGCTTAATATGCTTCATATTGTTTGCACTTAGATAATAGGCAGGTAATTTATTTAGAACTCAAACTTTAAACTCACATCAAAGTCAGTAACTTCAAAATTTTGAAACGTTCCATTATTAGTTACTTCATTCCATGTAGAGTAAGGTCTTAAAAATAGTATTAAACATTAGAAAATAAAGTTTGGTACTCTCATAATAAGCATTAATTTAGATTCACTCATTTGCCCACTTATGTAAGCTACATTCACTGCACTATTTCAGGCTGAGGGTACACACAGAAATCGTGAGGAAAGCAGCGAAGATGCCTTCCATCAATCCTGAAGAAACTGCCTTGCTTGGGTAAGTTAAGTTGTTATATTGAAAATGTCCTTTGTCTTTTTTATTTATTTAATTTTAATTATTATATTTTATTTTAGTAAATTTATAATCAAATCGGTCTACTTTTAAGGAACTTCAGTACAGAACTTTACTGTACTTTACGACTACTTCAGTGTACTTTTCTTAACCCAGCTTAATGACTTATAAATCATCCCATTAACATCAACCATCCTATACTGAACCAAACCTACTTTTTGTTATCAATATGCTCATATTTTTATTTATTTATTTAGAGTTTACTATTATCTGACCAAATAATAGAAATTTTCCTTCTATGTAATACTTTAATGTAAAGTCTGATATTTCTAGTTTAGTTATTTCCTTCCAAATTTATTAGGCAGTCATCTCAGCTATAATTGTGTAGAACCTGAATCTACTTTCATCGGTAATTGCAATAATAATTATCTAACAACAAAAGGATCTTCTAATCCTGTTAATTCCTACCACATAATCCATTCTGAATTGTATTTGTTACTATTGGACTTACAAATAAGCAGGCTGCCTCTATTATATATGTCCAAATTCCTAAAATGAGGAAACTGCAGTTACCCTATGTGGTTTCCCACAAATTTACCCCATTGACTTATTCTCATTATTCCTCTATGTTCTCTAAAAAGACATTTTCTGACCCATCTGTACTTTAAGTATTTTAAAAAAAAAATTCAAAATCTATGTGTTTATATCACTTGTCCAGTACCCATAACACAAGATCTAGCTAGCTTAACTTGGGTCTAGATGGCGCTTTGTGAATTGTCCTGAGATTATTATTACTTTGATAATGTTTCCATTGGTATCCAGTTCTATCAAGTACTGGAATAGTTCCAGCTAATGGTGAGAAACTATTTGCAACAAAGTTTCCTGTGAATATAATATGTCACAAGTTTGTTCAAATGTTCACTTGCCTTGTTGTAGGAGTGGTTTCCAAAATTTTTATCTAATACTAGCTGACCCCGCAAACGCTGTTTTCCTATATAAATTAAAATTGCTATTAAAAAATAGGCCCTGGTGGTAGAAGGGCGAAAATTTAATAATATAAAATAAAAAAAAATATGAAAAATAGAAGAAAATTTTGGGGTGAGCCACCCTTTAAACTTACAGGTATAAAAATTAGTTATAAACCTATTCTCAGACCTACTGAATATACATGTAAAATTTCATCAAAATAGGTCAACCCGTTTCGGAGGAGTATAAACACGAAACCACGAGAATTTTATATATTAGAAGATTTCATATGCTAATCATATCTTTTAAAGTACTTCTTTTTATATTCATCAAATTACAACCTATACTTATTTTACCTATATTCAATTATTTTTTTATTTATTTCACCTTTGATTTTTTTCTGTGTAATTTGTGGAATTCAACATTACCAACCGAATTAAGTAAAATTATATTATTATACAATAAAAGGAAATAGGTAATATGCAATTACAAGGAAAGTTATTTACTTGGAGATATCAAAGAAATCTTACTAACGTTATAAACACAAAGGCTGTAAGTGGGGATGTATATTGGTTACTTGTTCATGCAAAAAGTACTGTACCGATTTTGATAGTTTTTAACATCAGAATAACGCATAGGCATAATTTAGAAAGATATTATGTATATTGGGCGAAATATAATGATAAATGTCAGGTGTGATGTAGACGAAATAGCGCGGTTCAGTTAGTATGGATACTTAAATTGCATTAGTGACTAAAGTAATAAAATTGAAGTGTCTGTTTGTAATATTGAAATAACCGTTTTTTAATACATGCATATGAATATAAATACGGTACATACACCAAAATAACATTTTTGTCTGTCTGTCTGTTTATTCCGGCTAATCTCAGAAATGGCTGGACCGATTTTGATGAGACTTTTTTGGCAGGTAGCGGATGTAATATGGTGTAACTTAGGCTACTTTTATTTTAGAAGAATGAAGTTAAATTCCACGCGGACGAAGTCGCGAGTACAGCTAGTCCTATATAAGTTTGAAGGGCCGAGAAATTATGATATCTTAGTGTTCCGGAATGGCAACGCATGAGTGGTATCACGGCCGTCACACGATCAGGTTATGTCCATGCACATAGTTGGCACCCCCTCCGATCGATCCCTCATTCCCCCTCCGATCGATCCCCCATTCCCCCTCCGATCGATCCCCCATCCAATTCAAACGGGGATCAAAAGTAAGACGGCATAAGCTGAGTTTCGAACCCTACTAACTAACTTTAACACCAAACTCTCAGACTAGTCTTATCCGTCAGGAGGGAGTTTGCCTTCAACCGCTTTATAAGTCCTTCCGCGGGTTTGGAGTGCCATCTACACTCGCCGCCTGTCGTTAGGTGAAGCTGTAAAGGCCAGCTGCGACCAACAGAATTAGAGTAGTCCGAAAAAAAATTGTCATATAGTTGATATAAACCTATATGGTATATAGGCGATGGTTACCACTAACAAATCAAATAAGCCGCCAGATGAAATACCATTCAAATCAAATATTAATTATTCATGTAGGACATTTTAGGAGCTTATGGACTTTAAGTTTTTTGTATTAATATTTTTTCCCTATTGTCCAGTTCAGTATACAGATTCACTAGAGAAGTGCTGTTAAAAAGCTTAACTTAATGTATATTTTATTAAAAGTCAGTTTAATGATAGGAGTGTCTAATAAAAATTCCGTGCATGGATAACTGTTGCCGTGCACGTTTGTCATTTAATTAATCGTTTAATAAGTTAATTCCAAATACATAAAAAACTATGAAGATTTTAGTATGTATTTATAAACGACCAATATGAAAATACTTTTTTTGTATAAATTTTGTTTAACTCCGGCTATTAAGAACATTTTTATTTTTGAAAATATTTGAATTAACTTTAAGGTTAAGTTTTATATAGGAAAAAGAAGAATAAGTTTTTACTAAGGTTTCGGGCAACTTGATTTATATTAAAAAAAAAATGGTCGACTATTAGCAATCTTTCAGCGATTCGTTTTATATTAAATAGAAATTAATTCTCAAAGGTCTCATCTATGGTTATAATCGATTGTTATTCCAAAACCCACGTCCAACCAAGTCACGGTCGTAGTTGTAAAATATATTATACAGCTTGTGATTTAAAACTCGAATTTAAATAACAAGTTCTATGCATGGCGGAAATTTGCTGCTCAAATTAGGGACGACCGCAGCCAGTAACACCATAAATATGCTGATATACTGTAATAACGTAATGCGCTGCATGTGTTGCCAGCACTGAAGGCTGATATATTAAGATTTTTAAGTCTGATATTGCATTGGCTGTATTATCCTTCAGACCAGCACCCAATATGATCTATTGCAGCTTTACGAACAGTCAACTTTTTTTTTATATCATTAGTTAGGCTAATAGGTGTAAAGGGAATTGTTAATAATGTGGATTAATAACCCCATAGCTAGCAATGTACCATGTCAGGTTGACTTCACGTGTTTCCATTAGAAACCATCGTGATAAATTCTTTGTGTATTTACAACAACGGACGAACTGACTTATGCTCATTTTAGTCGTCTTAATTTTTCCATTATCTGCTCTTGTTAAGCCACAAAAATTTAAAAAATAATTAGGTAACTAAAACTAACATCTGAACGATCTGTTTAAGAGGAAGCATGTATAATAAATAGTATTAGTGTTTACAGTTTACAGGACTTTTACTTTTTACTAATTTTTCAGTTGTCAACGAGCCAAATTAGTTTTTAATTTTAGTGGCTAAACAATAGCAGATAATGAAAAATGAATAATGTCTGTTTTGTGCAGATTTTTATTCTCTACATTTTTTATTCAAAGCATTTATTCATAATTCATAAAGTTATCGAGTTAATTTAAAAAAAATGGTTTTAAATAAATGAAAATTTCTTTTTGAATATTATATTTCATGTATTTCCGTACTTATTTTTTTATATTGCGCGAAAACTGGTCACAGCTGGTTTAATTAAAATGTTTACTGGACTTTTAGCCTATATGTTGGCCGATATTTAACAAAAATTGGAACTGTATAAGTATTTTTTAAATTACATGAAATAATAAAGATGAATTTCACTTTAATACGGTTTTCTTTATTTTTGTAATATTTTTGTTCCCTAAGGTTTATATGTACAATGTACATACATGTACTTATACGATCTCTATTACATACAATGTACGACTGTTAGAAGCCGACATGGGCTGGTAGTGTTTGTATAAATGCGATCAGACATTACAATTTACATTACATACTACACAAACTACGTCTCTTCCTCGATATGTGATTATCCAACTGTTTAGAAATGTCCTTTTACTGTAATCTTTACTGCACATTACAATAACCATTTCAATTTGTTCGCTTTGTTTGCGTTGTGGGTATAATCAAATTAGTAGCTCCTACGTTTAATGTGAATATATAGAAACATACTCTGTAGTTAAATATTACGAGCACATTAGAACGTCAGCACTGGATTATACTATCATATATAACATTATAAACGTCCGTGTTTATATTTGTACACTTATGACTGTGTGACTTGTATATGAACTAGACCAAAAAGAGAATAGTTCAGTTTATTCAATTTAAATGTGGTTTTCACTGATGTTAAACCAGATTAATTTATTGTTTCATTATGATAGGATTACAAACAAAATATTTAATTAATTGTTATATTACTTGTAGTTATATAAACTTTTATTTTTAAACTTTTACCATCGCACCGCTCGTCATCGATAGAGAATTCATGTACTAACCCTGGAACCCAAGTGGTCTCAGACCGTGAGGTTTTAGAGAAGCTTCCTCCCGCGTACACTTAGATTATGGAATGAACTATTATACCTAACAACATAAGGTTTTTCAAGAAGGGTATATTAACGTCTCTTAAGGGTCAGGAAAAGACACGCGACATTTCTGGCGTAGATATGCCACGGTAACCGTTTACCATCAGATAGCGCGTATGCTTATTTGCCACCATCCTATTATAAAAAAA